ATCGAGGGTTAAGGAAGTGACTGCTCGACGGTGCGCCAACGATTGTGAGTTACTTGTTAGGGACAGGTCTTTGATGACAAGAATGATCTTAAAATGAACTAACTCAAAAAGACTACATGATTACAGTATTCAAATGTAGGGCAAATCTGAAAAGGTGACTGGAGGGTGAAGAAATGTTTAACGCGGAAGAGCAAGCCGATTTCGTGCGGGAAGTAACTAAATAAATACATGATGACCATAAGAGAGACAAAGATAAAGAAAGTTCCAATAGAATGGATGAATCTACGGAACTGACAATGTTCCAGCTAAAATATCTTTCTATCTGTCTATTTATGGCATGATACCAAGTTACAAAAGTAAGAGTCAACCGCAGGTTAACGCAAATATTTGGAAGCCTGACATTCGTATTGTTCTGACTAGCTGAGTACTGTTTCTTACTGAAACATTGATTAGCAACCCACAGGTCAGGATTGGTTCGTTATAGCATCCAAGTCAATCTAGTGTGTGGAGGAACTAGTGATCTGATGCATGAACTGTGGGAACAGTCACAGTTGTATCAAGTGCGCAACGAAAGGGAGAACATAAAAATTCCGTTTCCTGACAGTGAAGATGAGCATGGAGCTCCAGAGGGTTAGCCACAAGAAATGATGGCTTGAGGTGATGGACGTTCGGCTTGAGGAACATTTGCTGACTGACGGATGAAGCCTACTGAAAAGCGATATGATTAGTGGTATTCAGATGTTTTTAAAATAAGCGACTCGTACATGAATATGGTATGTGTGAGAGAGGCAGTCAGTCCGTTTCAAGTTAGCGAGACAGAATGAACAAAGACCGGAGATTACAGAGGAACTGAAAAAAAATGAGTAATGGTGTGAATTTTAAAATGTTAATAACACAGTGACATCGCTATGTTATTAACATTCACAATGAGACAACACATGATGCATCGTTTTTTAAAAATACACTCCTAACAACATTCGGTCCTGATGTATTAAAATGAGTAGTTTTTCGGACAACAACAACTAAATACTCGCCAGTGAAACATTTGTTCATATCAATTCACCGGAGATGTAACAATACCAAACCTTGAGTCACACTTAGAAGGTCTGGTTTACGGAAGAATTTTCCATACTACACTTAAACAGACTAAGATGAACTGGAAGGTTTGGGTTATATACAACCACTAGCCTTGAAGTCAGTCTAAAACACTTAGCTTGTTTGTGGAAATGGGAGAAAACGATTATACGGCCCGGGAGACGTACTTTCAAGGGAGTGCGATTAATCTCCTTTCGACTTCTGTTCTAGCGACACGAGTCACGAGTGGCTCGGCTCCGGGAGCGGGGCACAGCGAACAAGTTGTTGAAACATTTGTCTCCTACAGAAATCGGTTACGTATCTGTACAATATAGCACCATCAATCTCACTGGCGTCATTAAACCTGAACCATTAAACGAAAGCCAGCGACGCCACAGACATATGAGGTCTGCAAACTATAACGGAACATTCTGTATGTATGCCAATACCTTCAGCATAGTTACTATGGTAAACTTAGGCAGACGTGTAGAAAGTTGTTTATACTTTCCCCAACCACAGCGCAATGTCAAAAGTAGCTACATGAACACCGGAGTCATACAGAACTGGTCGCAGCTTACTTTATTCTTTTTTATTCTCAGCTGCACAATTTCAGTGTAGTCCAGATCTGATCATGTTAACATGGGTACGGCTTCCTTACAAGAGGATAGCGGCATTTTCCGAAACATACGGATTACCAAATCGAAGATGAAAGGAGACAGGGCAACCCCGGTACCTCGGGCAAAACAAAACATCAATCAGAACGCCTCTGAAGGCCTCAGTACAGTCCGGGGTGAGTCTCCCGGCTTGAGGCTGGTCATCCCTTCCTTTCACCTCGCAAAATGCTCTTATACCACTAAGGGTCTGAAAATACTTCTGTTGGGGAAGCCCTACTCAATGCCTTCCCGTGGGATGGAGGTGTTTTCTCACCAGAGTGAGAGGACGAAAAGCCAACATAAGGTACTCACACCGGGTGGGGGGAACCCCTGTCAGTTGACCGAGGAGTATTGGATAAAAACCCTGACTCTAAACCAACGCAGGAGAAGCGTACGAACCACACATACCTTCCCGGTTGTGGCAGTGGTTACCGAGGCATTGCGGTTTATTGGACGTTTGACCACGTCCAAAAGGTGTATGATTCGATAAACTGGACACCTCCCCCCCCCCACACACACACA